TTTTTTTTTTTTTTTTTTTTTTTTTTTTTTTTTTTTTCCTTCCCTCTTTTTTTTTTTTTTTTTTTTTTTTTTTTTGTGCTTCTTATCACTTACTTTCTAGTTTCCTCTTTTAATATCCTCGAGTAATTCAAATAATGGTAATTCAAACAACACTAAATTCACCGAGCTCACTCCAAATCTTCCAGTAGTAATCATTCTTCAGACATGCACCTTGACTTTATTTCTTCCTGTAAAAGAACTTATTTCAGCAATGTGCATTTAAAACAGCTGAGATACTGCCTTTTTTTTCCCCCCTAAACATACGAAAAGTCTAAACTAAACAACTACTAAAAACTTTCATGTCTTCTAACCGTACTGTATATAGTTTTCCTTAAATGTATGTATGCACTGAGAATTCGTATATTCAGTAAATTTTCTACAGGGACATTCTCTGACTTTTAAATCAATCTACAAATGGCTTATTGTTGATTTTTTTTAATATGTTTTCCTTAAAAAAATTGACCAAGTAAATAAAAGAGCAGATATCCTTTAGAAAAGTCAAGAACTGCAACAAGATTTTGTTTTACTGGCACATGTAGTACTCGGGTAAGAATTTCAAAGTCTGAATATAACCTTGAAAGAAAACATAACCTTGTGATTTGAAGAAGAATGGTTTGCCGTGTTGAAAAAGTCTTTTGAATCTGACCTACTACAAGTAGTCTGGTCATAATGTCATGTGACTACAAGGAAAATAATAACGGATTTCCATTTTAGTAACATACTTAAAACTCGAGCCAAAAATGTATGTCTGCAAATGATCAGAAAATGTAATTTCTATGAATACATACATACTGAATACATCCTCAAGAGAATTACCCAAGATTAAGTGCTGCACTAAATCACAGCTATAATATTTAGTACTTTTAGCTGATCTTGCAATCACAGATAAGAATATGTTAGTGGTACAATCTTCATACATATTCTAGAAAACAAATAAGGGAAATTCCCATTTCACAGATGTTATTACTTTGGCATAAAGCATATTTTCAGTGAAAAAACCCATCATGTTCAAGAACTTAAAAAACACATTTTCTAAATTTAATGACTTAATGGATTGAAGGCATGAAATTACCTCTTACACCACCATTGGTAGGTAAGGCTGATCCTTGCAAGCCAATATACAYACCTCAACTATGTATATCAAAGTAACATTTTTCCTGACAACCACACAAAATCAARGACATGTTTAGAAGTTAAAACACAGTCTTGAAAAGACTAGGTGACACATCTGAAGTAACAGAGGAAAGAAGTAGCAAATCAGTATGGAATTCCAGACTTCTCTTACCAATCTTTCCAAGTTTTTGACTGAGAATTTCACCTTTTCCTTGTCCTAAAATACTAAAAGAACATCTATGCTTTGCTGCAAGTTATATAGTTATATATTTTCTCAGGATGTATTTGACTTAATGTATGATGTTTGATTAATGACTTGGACAAGATGCAGACTTTGGCTGTGTGTTAATTTGCCATTTGCCATTGTGGAGATTTCTGATATTCTTTGGCCACTGTAATGCCGCTGTAAGAATAAATTGTTATCATCATTGTTATCATTATGAATATAACATCGAGCTGTATGCTTTCCTTATCAATCTGCTAATTGATCAGTAAATTACTTTTTTTTAATAAAGACTTTAAAAAAATTGCTAGAGGTTAATGAGCTGTGTAGATTTGTAAGTAAGCAAGCATAACTTTCTACATATAAAGGAGAGTGTTGTATTGTGTAGGTTCCCAGATTTAGGCATTGTTGCTTTCTTATCTGCATTATCTATTAGAAAATTACCACACTGATAAAAGCAATATACATTATACTGTGTAGTACTTTACTAACTACAGCGTGGCATTTTTCATTAAAGTTTTAAAGTGCCTGAACATTCTGTTTCTAAAGCTTTGTTGACCTGTATAGAAGCAATATTTTAGTGACACTCATTTAATTTACATACTAGCAAAGCAAGAATTGGAAAGTCTAATGTATTTAGTGTGATGTTTCCTAACACTTTAAATGTTAATGCTGTAGTTCAGTTTAGCAAAATAGTGTCTGCTCCAATATTTTTATTCTATTGCTGTATAAGTCAAATAGTGAGAGATATAATTGATATGTCAGATTACAAAAACTAAAAGGCAGTATGTGAAAATTTCATAGTGTAAGTGTGTATCTATATCTATAGATGTAGATGTATCTATATCTATGTATCTATATATGAAACTATACTCCCTATCTGTTGTTTCTGCCTTATGGCTTTTACAATAGAAACTACACACACGCACACAAATCCTTAAATAGAAAAAGCTGAGCCTTTTTTTTTCACAAATCTTACCGTAAAACAAATGCTGAAGTTTTTATGCAACTTAATACCTTCTTCAGACTATGCTTCCTCTGACATCCAGCAGAGTGCTGTGGGATGAGGATATTCATATGTGTTGTGGCATTTGTTTCGTACATCACCCAGTACTTTTCAGAAGTGTAGCCTGAAAAACTGAAAAAGAGCAAACTTGTCAGCAATAGCTGTATTTTCAGATCATCGAATCAGTCACTTCAAAGTTTGGTAACTATTTCAAGGTATCTCTTAAACATTTTAGACTTGATTTTGCATACATCAAGATTCTTTCCATGAGCAGATACAATCCTGATATTTCATTACCACAGTACCATTATTGCTTCTTGTATCTCCATTTACCTCAGAAAAGAAGCATAGAGTTGTACTTATGAATTTTATATTTTCTTAAAATTGTTTGATCTATTATGTAAAGGAACATTTCATAATACTGTTGGAGCAAAGTGTTGTAATGAGTGAAACTGTCATTAATTTTGCTACAACATAAAGCGCATTTCTTATGTGATAAAATTTATCCTGGAAAAGGTATTTAAAAAAAGAATTGGTGTGACAAAGACACTTTGTTAGCAATGCCAAAAGTGAACATACAAAAAGCTCTTTTCAGATAAATCTGGTGACTTATTCAGATGTCTCTTATAAGAGGTATATGTCACAGAAGTTCTAGTATGTCCAACTTCTGACTGTCCTGAAGGTAAGGTAGAAATTAGAATACTGGCTGCATTATTTTAGTACACCTTATTTTTCTGAAGGTTAAATGACAATATCCAGAAATATATGTAGGTGACTTTTTAAAAGGTCAGAAGCGACCTCTGGAAGCTTCTAGTAACAGATTAACCACATTAGAACACATGAATTTACAATAACTATTCTTAATTTTTACATATTAAATTTTACCTGCATGGCATACTAGAGTGAATATAACTTYGTTGTTTGGGCTAGAGTCAGGATTCAGAAAACCTGTACAATATGAATTAAGTATTCTCAAGGACTTTCGACACAATGGAATGGTTTAAAGTTTTAACAGTGTGATAGCAGTACGAAGTCAGTTTAAAAGCAAGGGATGATACATCAAAATCTAGTACAATCTTCCCTGTGGAAGGATTTGACCTATTCAGGTCTATCTTCTGCCTCACTGGAAAAATGAGTTTTAATTTTCAATGACTTTGTTTTACAGGTCATACATATGGGATGGGTAAATGAGAGACTTGAAGGAACTGATTCATCTCAGCTCTACAAATTTAAGTTTCTGGCACTGAAGGGTTCATCCTTCTACATTTTCAGCACTCCACCGGTAAAAAAATAAAAAAAAAAAATAAAAAAAAAAACTTGGGAGGAAGGGGAAGGAAATTTTCACTGTAGATGGAAACTTATTTGTCATGTCTGGGTTTATTTTTTCCTACCAGAGTTGTCAGCTCAGACTTCAAAAGCAGTTAAAGCCATAGATGTTACTGTATTTCAATAAGCTTTAGATAAGTAACCTCTTTCAAGGTTCTCTGAAAATCCTACAATATCTGTAGAACTCAAGGAATTCTTAATAGGGAACATTTGTTTTACTCTTTTAAGTTGATATGTTCAGATTTTTTTGTCATTGGTTATAACCAAAATTTCTAACCTTAAAGGCAACATATTCATAACATGAAATGCAACATCCTAACTGAAGTTGTGAATTTTGCATACTAGGGGTTGAACTATTATTCAGTATGCTTTGAATGAGTGACAGCATAGTGCTTTGATTATTTCTATAGAATTATATTTTACAGTAGAGGACTTATCTAATACTACTGCAAAACAGTCAAAAATAATAATAAAAATATGATGAAAAGAGATGGAGAATTCTAAACTCTTAAGAGTAACCCATAAATAACACATGGAAACTTTTTATTGCCTTCTATCTCTCTTCTGAGAGCCACTGTTTTAAATACATCACAAAGAACAAAATGTATAATTAAAATACATTTGAAGCTAAAGCAGGTTTCTTAATTCTTGATCAGAAAGTCACTGATCATGACAAGGTCAGTCCACTGATTTAGTGGAACAAAAGAAAATCTCATCTTTTTATGTATATACCACCAATCTACTTTTGTGAAGTGTTTTTAGTCTTTGAACTTCGTTTAGACAGAAGAAATCAATGACATTCTCTCTAGACTGAAATTATAAATCTGTTGATTTAGAATCCATTCCTATTACCTCCTAGCGTTTTAAAATGACCAACTAATACTACTTTTCTTAAAATGAGAGAATATATTTGTAAAAAKGAGTTTTTTTCTCTGCAAAGAAATATTCCTTTTTACATATTGAGAATTAAAATCTTATTCATCTACTAGAATACAATTATAATGCAAAATAAAACAAAAAATATTAAGCAAATAAATAGCATACCAAATTTTCATGTGGCTTTAAMTTTATGAATTTTAATAATGGTCTTCAGAACTGTTTCTGAAGGAATTTTTTGATGTAATTAAAACTATCCATCTACATGATACTGGGGAAAGACTACTTCATTTATTGTATTTAGCACCCTACTAAGAACAAGCAAGTAAAGATAAATATTTATTAGCATTTTTACCATATTATTTGTCAGTATCTATGATAGTCTACAGTGCTTCTGTGCAAAGATTTGTAGAAACAATAGCTTTTCCAAACAATTAAGATAGATGTCTCCTGCGGTCACTGTGTTAGGTCATCCCACTAATCAGATGCACTTAAGTGTATGACAGAATATATGAATTCTAAAATTCACTCATCAGTTTTCCTGATATTTAATCGCACCAYAGATGTTTTATAATAGGGAATAAAATTTAAAATTAAGCAACAAAAAAGAAAAAAAGGAAAAGGATAGTTACCAGCAATACATATATTCAGAATTCAAACCTGGATCTTGAATCACACTTACAAGCTGACTGTGTCTGCCTTTTCTGTCTCCACAACCTTGCCACCCTTGGTGCAGGAGGGATGGCCTCACGGACAGGCCAAGCGAAGCTGGGTCCTGTCAGCAGCCTCTGGCCTATCTTGATATTCTTTCTGTATTTCATGTCCAAGCGTGAATAATTTTATAACTTCAATCCTAAGTCCTCTCAAGAAGCCTTTCACTGATCTTTAGATGTTTGTCATTATCGTATTACGTTTTTTTTMAAATTTGTTTCTCTGGTGCTATGCTATTTGCAATCCAGCAGTGTGGTGTACACCAAGTAGATGATCTACAAGTCATGTAGTTAATTTTAATGACTTTTTCCATACCTTATAAATGTTTATAAAAACATATGATATGAYTTTTGCTCTATTTTTTTTGTGTATAAGAGATGGAGTTGAATATAATTTCTAACTTTCAGCAGAAYTCAAAACAAAATCTTCTTTTTGTTTTTATGTCAATCTGATTAGTCAATTTTACACTGTTACAGAATTCTCATTCACCCACTTCAGTATAATTAGTTTGAGAATACATAAATCGTCTAGATCAAGGTCTTTTCTAAATTTACGATGAAGTAGCTTGAATGCTGACACCAGATAAATGTAATCATTTTATTGCAGCCTGCTGTGCCTAAGAAGTGTTTTATTGGGGTACTTATTTTAAAACAGTATAAGGACAAATCTCGTCAGATTTAGAGAAACTGAATTTTAGATTGCTCTTATGGAAAGTGGATAAAGATATGTTAGGTTCCATAAACATTACAGAATAGATAACTCAAGTGAAACAACTCTTTGAGTCATCACTAGTGTTAGGTTTGTCAATTATTCTGTAATCAGGCTGGCTCTAGGGGATAATTAAGGACTAAAAATGAATGCACTTTTATTACAGCTGACGAAGTCTGAATTATTGCTCTCTAGATATTATGATATATAAACAGCAAACAGCAAACAGATGTGATTACAAAGTACATTCTAAGTGTTAAGCAAAGTGTTATTATACTGTTTTCACTTACAATGGTATTTACCATAAAAAATCCATCAGTCCACTTATATCGAAGAAATTCTGGAAGATTTTCTTTATTGTAAGGTAATTTTGTGTTTCTGAAGAAGCCAGTTTTGTTAAGCAGTGGAAATTTATCCCAAGATAATTTGGGATAATATGATTAAAAATGTAGCATTTTAAATCTAAAAATTCTTAAATAACTATATTAAAATCAAGTCATAACTACATCAAAATCAAATCATTACTTTATTATGAAGACTTCATCACTCCATCCTCAAAATTTTTTTTTTTGGTTATATAATGTACAAATGAAAAAACTACTGGTTATTTTTTTCTTTGTAGCATTCATTTTGATTTTAAGGCAACATACTAGATATCTAACAACTAATGCATAAACAACCTACAGCCTGTTGGCAAATTAGTCTGGAAAACAAATTTGATGCATGATGGAGATGTTCATTAACTTGAAGGCAAAAATTCTTCAAGGCATAAAAAAATAAGCAGTCAGTTTGAGTTGGGCAGATTATCACCTTTGCTGAAACAACTAGGAAAGTGGAAAGTGAATATGAATATTACTTGGTATGACAAGAACGATGGCCCTAGGGAGACAAACTACCAGCTGTTTTAGAAAGAGTTTCATTTGTCTGCAGCAAGCAAGCTCACCATCGTTCATTACAAGTAAATTCATCATGAACTATTATATATAATAGCGTATCTAGAACCATATCTCGAGTTAGTTTACTGATTCTGTTATCACCTGTGTGTACCTTTGTTATCTGCCATTAACCTGTTATTCCAGCCTCCGCTCATCAGCGGTCACTGGACTCCCCTTTAATTTTCATATGATTTTCCTGAATAAATATTACTGATGTTTCCTGCTTGTCAAGACCTTTTTCTTACTAGAAATATTTAACAACTTTCAGCTCATTAATGACTGATGGAAAAGGCATGATAAAATAATTCAACATTTCAAAWCTGAGGCACAAATTCACTTTTGAATGGGAATTTGAGTGATTTGTAACTTGGATTTGTAAATTGGCAAAATAGCTGAAGTGGAATATTTTATTTCTTATTTGTGCAAATATACTTAGTGTTAATATACTTATGTTAATTTGTGTTAATTACTTAGTAATAATATACTCCCTTTTGACCTTCCCAAGATCTGAGAAAATTCTAGATCAGATCATTGTACACTTAATGAGGCTCAAACAGTAAGGTTGCTTAACAAAGAATATTCTTCCTGCATCCCTCAAGTGCCTTATCTGATTGTATTTAATGGATTTCCAGAACTAATTCACAGATTACATATTTGTAATCATGACACACTTTTGAGATTCTCAAATATGAAAAACACCATATGACAAAAAGGACTTGTAGGACTATGTTATTATGCAAAATTGCGTAGTAACTATGTAGTTTTACATATTATTTTTATTATTTTTTATTTTATTATTTTTTATTTTATTATTTTATTATTTTACATATTACATACATATTGACTGTATTTCCTTAGTTTTATGTCTATAGTGTAATCATTTAATGTTATCTCTGAATAAGTATAAAAATCTGTTTTGTTACTTAACATTCCTGAATTTTCTTTTGAGGAATAACTGTTGTTCAGTTTGTTGTTTGACACAAGCATAYAGTACATGTGTATGTGCTGAAATTATTTTAATTTTATTGTTATCTTTCTCCCATTCTAAAACCTTAGCTATTCTTTAAGAAAAAGTAATGAAWTATGTGCCTACTTAGAGTTAAACGTACTTTGAATTTGAGCATTCTTCTGAACTGATGTTGAAATTACTTGGTCAAAATACTGCAAAAAAAGGAGGCTTGAACAGTGTAGTTTATTTCCTAAATCTATTAGAATTCTTTGCAAAAAAATTAGTTCAGAGAAACTCATACTGAAGTTTAACACCTATTAAACACTTAGTACCTTTGAGAGGAAGGTCCATTGTTTCGGTATCTCATCATGGATTTTGAATTGWAATTTCAGGTTATATCTTAGTTATTCATTTGTGTTATTCCTCTGTCCTTGTGGAAGTTGTGGAAGCTGAGCATCATCTACCACTTTATGAATGTGTTAATTTACACTCTTTATGAAGTAATGAATACAACCAAATATCCATAAAACCAGTATTCAATAACCTTTTCATCAGATATTGCATTGAGTTATCTAGGGAGTCTGTTATATATCTGAAAAAAAAAAATATCAACAATGCATTTCTTTCTAACACTTAGAATTAGACTTTCAGCATATGGTGAATAATACCATTCAACTAGACTTGGTTATAAATTCATGTACTAAACAGGAGTTAGGTAGAAACTGTCTGAATGCTATTAACTACTCATATATTTTCACCTTAGGTTTTACCTTTTGCCACAYATAAAGTCACATGAATGAAAGTATGTTTGGCCCATATGTATGACTTGACCCATTCTGAATATAACTTTTTGAGATATTTTGTCAAATTATTTATTAAAATGTAAATATCATTTTAAAATAATTTCAAAATAATGCTGTGTATGGAATATTTAGAGGAATAATTTCAGCAAAAAACAATATTGAGAAAAAAAYATCTCTATGGCTTAAAGAATATATTTCAATGCCTTGTTTGTCTTAGACCTCTTTATTAAATGTGTTATGATGGACATGTTAATATGAAACATCATTTTCAATAAATGAAGTATATTGTAGTTTTGTGAACTCTTCAGGTTCTTCCAGCTTTTCTCATTGACTACAAATATGTGATCACTTACGATATTTCTACAGCAATGCAATAACATTTTAAACTTTTAACATAGCATTTTAGGACAGTTTTAAGGAGAAAACTATAATAATTATATTTTCCCCTATGGCTTACATACTGTAATTATGTTTGTTTCCCTTAAAATCTCTCAAAATGTCATTTGTGTTCTTTTGATGACCTTGCACACTATGATTTTCAGACTCTTTCACTCTTGCTATAAGTATGGTACTTTTTCCTTGGTATACACTGTGAAAAGAAAGACTTGGTGTTATATAGGTGGTGATTGTGACCTATCAGCCCTTGCTGTCTCTGCACAAAYAGTCGTAAGAGGTTATGGAGAGTCAAAGGATGAAAGAGATCTACAGGATAACGGGGAGAATTATAAAGTATTTGTAGTGAATTTAATGGCACAGCAGTGTTACCATTATTCATGGCAGCATCGTTAATAGTAGCAAAAAGAACCATAGCCATTTAAAGTAATCTTCAGGAATCAAAACAGAAAGTAGGAGCAAATGAAAATTCAGTTGTCTGAACAGTTTTTAAGTTATACCTTCTGTCATTAACTTCACTTTCATAAGTAAAACCAAGCAGGTGCTTCTGATTTTTGTCCTGTCTAGCCGCTAATAGGAATGGAGAATTCTTGTACTTTTAACTAAGAATAGAAAGAYTTTTTTTCCTTCCAGAAACTCAAGACCAAATATTGAACTATCCATCACTCTTCTATAAATCTTAGTTTGCAAGATATATTAAGATTCRTTGAGAGTCAACAAGAATAGTCCAGAACCTGTTATCTTTAATTGGTTTATCTTCMAAACAACTTTCAAAGAAAAAAAAGACTTCCCTTTAAAAAACAATAATTAAAAATTCAAATTTATATAAAATTGATTGCACCTCATTGGAAAGAAAAGAGTAACAGAAGTTTTTACATCAATGATGTCTGACTCAAAAAATTGCTACACTKTATAAAGTAGTATAACAAAAAGTGTAATACCTAAAATTGCTTTAAAATTGTTTTGTAAAGCAGTTGACATTAGATTTAAATCTGACTAGATTACTTTAAGATAGTATTAAGTACTTTTAATGTTAGCATTAAGTAATATCTTGAGCTTTCAGTTATGATGAAACAATGCCTATAATAMTACAGAAAACATATACATATGAAATGTTCTAACACATTTTACTGTAAGCATTGCATTTAGTTGGTATTTTGTATTTGTTATTAAAATATAAAAACTGTCAAATGGTCAGACCAGACATGAGTCTCTTTACATTCTGAAAAGGTGTCGTGAAACAGCTTTCACTTCCAGAGGCCTTCAGTTTCTTTTTTAATGTGATTCATRTGATTCACATGTGATTCACAAATGTGATTCATTTCAACTAAATTAAATTTTCTAAAAGCTACATATCTAATCAAAAGTATTTTTCAAATTTTATATGTACTAACAGAAAATAAAAAGCATTTCCACAGTCTGTTCATAAATCCTATGGCAAGAATATAAGAAATCACTGTTTTGCTTTCTTTTTTTTTTTTTTTCTTTCCCAAACATGAGGGAATTAAAAATAGATTTATGAAGAATTAAATCAGATTGTGAATATTAGAACACTTCTGATATCTAAATTTAACTAAAATGATTTGCATGCTAGGAAGAAAGATTTTAGGTAAATTCTAGAATATTGCTTTTAAACTTATAGCTGTGATAGCACGTATGAAGCAACACAATTAGCTTGCATTAATCTGTATATTACTTTTGACATCTCTGAATTTGAGAAACTTGTGTTTGTTAGCATTTTATAAAAGAAATATGATTCTCACCATACAGATTGCAAAGAGGTTTCCATTTCCATTATTAATAATGGAAAATATGCAATTAATTAATTAATTATGTAATGCTTTAGTTTTAGTAGGAATCTTGTAGGCTGTGTTTATTTTAAAAGAAAATGCTATTTAGTATTCCTTTTTAAATGCCATATATTAAGTGTAGTATGTTTGCATATTTTTATAGTATCCAGTAGAATAATCATTGGTGAAATCTTTTAAATTTTTCATCTTTTCATAATTTTAATAGAAACATGTGAAGAAAAATATGTTTTCAATATTTTCTTTTGATATTTCAGGTAAGCACACTAGACTGGGTACGAGCTGAAAAAATCTATAACCTCTGTGAGGTTCTTTTTAAAATTCACAAGGTAGGTTTCCCCAAACTTACAATTTTACTATTTAGTAACAAAAATTTGCTTATTAAGGTAATGGTGATCTTAATTTTAACTGGTGGCAGCTAATTCTCAAGTAGCTTATCTGTTATTATAAATTCTATTCTTAAATAGGGTCTATTGCACTATTTATATAAGTAGAAGCACCTATGGCAAATGGATTAGGTTCCAAGTGAGCAACTTAMTAAAATACTTCCAAATTGAAGACATTTTTTCAGTATTACAACCAGCCATTTGAATTATGAATGAAATAAACAAGTAGTCATAATGAAGTTGGATATTGCATTCCCCTGTATTGAGTCAGATTCTTAGGTGACTGTGACAAAAAAAAAAAAAAAAAAGAGAGAAAAGAAAAAAAAAGTGCTTTGTTTCTGATTTTGATCTATGTAAAGATACTTTTATTTAATTTACATAAGGACTATAATATTCTGTCCTTTTTAGATTGAGAGCAACTGCCAACACTGTAACTGGCATCAGCTTATAAAGGAAAACATAGTGCTTTCATGTATTTTAGCTTTTTTCTTTCGCAATATAGAGATATTGTAATAATTTATTTTTTTAACTTGTCATGAGGAATATTTTTTGGCAAAACATTAGCAGTCTGAATATAGAATTGACTTGTATAGAATTGACTTGTGAAAGATATTTTTATGATATGTTTCATTCGCAGATGGAATTAGCTGTTTACCAATTAATCAGAAACTGCTTTTCAGATTAGAGAAATAACCTGATCATCATCCTTTAGAAAGGGAAACACAAGTACAGGTCGATTGAATGCACTTGTAGAGGCCTGAAATACTGAAATACTGRGAAATACTGACCCCAAACTGCACTCTAATTGTGAAATTAGACTTTCCTTCACTGTATTTGCCAACTGTGAATTTTACGCAGGATGATGTCGAGAAGGACAGTAATGTTTGTGGCCATCCAAATCATAAGTTATACAGAAAAAAAAAACCTCATACTTATCTCTCTCCCAATCTGTTTGAATACTTTAACTACTAGGCTACTTGCTGTTAGAACTATATCAAGAAAAGCCATCCTAAATAAAAGATATATCTTTAAAAAAGAATGTTTTCCAATATTTTAGTCTTTTTTTTCCTTGAAATGCTATTTAATTGAAAAATTCCAAACCAACTAAAATCGATTCTGAGCAGCAGATGCTGACTCCTTCTGTGCTCTTCTTCCTTTGATCATGTGTTGATGTTATAGATGCTATGTATGTCTGTTATCTGTACACAGCTGCAGAAGGGAGAACAGCAGCTTAATGATTTTAGTTCCATTATTGTAAGGGAATGCTAGTTATGGGTGCTTCTCTAATACAATGCAGTTATTATTCAGAACATGTTACAATAATGAACTGATAATAATATTTAGTACCCTTTTCTGCCCGGTTAAGAAAGGGGTTCTCTGTTGCAGTAAATGACCAAATTCTTTCAAGAACTGAATGACAGGTACAGATAGGTGCAATATCTTGACTACTCAAACAGTTTCTCACAAACTGACTTTCAGCAACATATGCATACTTCCTATACTTGATTTACTGATAATGAATTAAGAGGAAAGAAAAAATCAAACAAAAAGTGGAGCGGAAAAAAAAAAAAGAAAAAACTTGAAAACAGGATCAATTTATAAACTTCAGAGCAATAAATACATAACCTGACAGAAACAACAAAAATAATTCTAAAATACGTGCTGGTATCTGCATTTTACACAGGTGTCATATTCTCTTTAGTTGACAAATAAAGAACACTTTTCACTCGTCAATTTTGTTATTTTAAAAGAAAAGTTCAGCAACTCCAGGCCTTCAGCCAGGGTGAGGAGATTTCTTCCCTGCCCATCACTGCAACAAAGGGCAGAGTTATGGATTTTATTTCCTTAAAATTTTATTAAATTTGTATTTTTCCAGATAAGTAAATTGGGCATCAATGAACAGGATACGCATTAAGCTTTTTGGGAAGGGTTTGGTGATCATTATTTTTGTTTTCATTCTGTAAATGTTACTACTGATTTMATTCTCAGTCCTTACTTTAACATTATGGTAAGACTGATTTCAGGGACATGACAAGAATTTGCTAGAAGTAAATTCTGTATTACATTTTCATTAAGAAAAAGAATTGGGAAATAAACTACCCACAGTTCAATGCTTAATGTTCTTGACATTTTAATAAATTAATGTTTAATTATGAGTCTTCATGAATATATTAGCTGAATTACAAAACCTCCAACTCAACACCTAAATTTCTTTTCTGTGAATTCTTTAGTATATGTGATAAATGAAGGAAATTGTATGAATCAATAAACATAGACAAAATTCTTAAGAGAYTGAAGCTTCTACATTGCAAACCAAAACATTTATATTGTGTGGTTTTGTGAGAGTATTTTTAAAGTTTTTCAGAAGCTAGCTAGAACTGCAGTAAGGCCATAGTTAAGAATATTTTATCATCTGGGTTCCGAAGAAAGATGGTTTAAGGCAAGGTCAGTTGTTCCAAATCTGATTGTAAACTTCTCACACGTGATGATTATGACATAAAAGTTAAAAAATGGAAAATAAGAATTCAATATGGAATATGGAAATTAGATTTTAAAATAAAACATTTGCTATATTTTAGGTTTGTGTGTGTTTATATACATACATGTAGCAAATACACAAACATGTGTAAACATAAGCATACATGTAGTAATATATGAACATTCATATTTCACATTCTTGCACTTCAATCTACATGAACATTTAGTGCTAACAACCAGATGATTGACAATATGATCTCATTTATCTCAGCATGATAGCATTATCAGCTTGACAGTGCAGATCTTTTACTCATCACCCGATATCATGGATGAATTTTTAAGAATCTTCTGCTACAGTCCTCTGGAAAAACAATAGTATTCAATCTACTACATAGAAAATTGCATTCTTAGAAGTAATGATGCTGTCTTCCCCGCTATCTCTCCAAATTCCTTCTTTTCCTCTTTCGTTGGGAGGTATAGAGAATTTTTTTTTGTTGATAAGGTCAGAGAACTTCTTCATGGTCGTCATCTTTGTTATCCCTTCTTTCTCACCTTTATTTCTGTTAACTCCTCTTAAATTACAATATATGTATTGCTTAGATTACCTTAACAGCATTCTCGGAGTACAGAATTAGCTCAGATTTCGTAATACAGGTTAAAATGAATAAAAAGTAAAAGAAAATTTGTCTTTGGAAATGTTACCTAATTCTRAAAGCATTGCTTCTTGATGCTATAACAACGTAACTGACTGACACTGAATACCTGTCATTTGCAGAAGACAGTGTTGCCCTAACTGCTTGTTTTTGCTAGGTGAAAAATCACATACTGAAACATGTCTTTCAGCTCTGGCTTGCTGATGATTGCTGGCTACAAGCAAATTTGTATTTAGGTATTCATCAAGACCTGGATCTTGAAGACCAGAGGCCATATTGTTTCAGTGTTCTGGTTGGACATGGCAAGAGTCATTATTTCAATGTAGAGCTTGGCAATGAGTTGGCAGTGTGGGAGAAATCGTTTCAAAGAGCAATTTTCTTGGAAGTTCAAAGAACAGGGGTAAGTAATGAATAATTAAAATACTGGAGCCACTTCATCAGTAAAATATTCTGTAACAAATTGTAGGAAAGTTACTGCATATGCTTAATAATTGTATCAAATTAATATGCTCTATGAGTAATGCTCTGAGTATACTGTAATACACCAAAGGCTTCTGAAAGCTTAACCATCATATAAATATTTGTCTATCGATGACTGTATGATAACAAGGAACAAATATGCATTTGTGCAAAGTTTTTAGTTGCTGAATACAACAATCTGTTAGCTCAGTATAGCACAAAAGATACTAACATTTCTTCCAGTCCTGGTTTGGCCTATTTGAAATCTGCAGCTCAGGCGTTCAGTTAAAGTTTTGGTTGTAATTCTTGAGTTTCTATGTTTGTGTTCCTATATCTTAATTTTATGTCAGTCAGTTTCATACATTCAAGTTTGCTCTAAACCATTATGCCAGTAGGGAGCAAAGTGCTGTGGTAATTCTCCAGCAGTGAAAAATCTTTCTGATTCCACTATTTACTTTCTTCCTTCAAAACATAAATGCTGCTTTTCATGTCTATCTTTTCAGGAGGATATCAGAAGTAGCATGAATGAGGCCTGCAGTTTAATTTTACTCAGAATATTTCTAGACATATACAGGGGACTGACATTTCAGCATCCAGAAAATTAATGTTTGTCATCTGTAGGTCCACAAGAATTCTTTCTTTTGGATAAGGACCATAATTGTGGTGGGAAATTCATTTTTATGCCTAAATGATTGGGGCAGATTCATGCCAGGTGTGAGATTGCACTACATCATTTCAACCATTATTCTATACATGTGTGATCACTCATTATGATCTTGTATTTGACCAAGTTGTTGTTAACCTTATCCTGTACCTGTTCCATGTGTTTGGTTTACTATAAGAAGAATTGTATCCCTTAAAGGTTTTTATCCTTATATTGTTTATATTTTATGTTCAATAGTTTTGAAGTTCATCTCTCATAATGTATGTGTTTATTTTTGTATGCATTTCTTATGACAATGGTAAGTGGCAAAAAATGCAGAAAAGCAAGAAAAAAATCCCCTTCTAAGATGATTCTCCTTTCAGCTCTCTTAAAGTCATGTTTCAAAGCTGCAAATGCTTATAAGAGGAACATAACAAGAAGTGTGAAATTCAGTATAGCTAATGAAGTAGACCTATTTACAAGTAATGATACAAGCAAACTTACATTAAATGCAAAAAAATACATTGTAATTGTTGATAGCATAATTTGGGGCGATAGGGGCATTAAAAATGCAGAAGGGCAGTCCAAAGGCAGAAAGGTATTCTTCAAAAGTATTTTCAAGGGAGGATAAAAGCATTGTGATGGGTGAGTTAACTTTCCTCAATCACAACCATAAAGTCGGTTATCTTCCAAAAACCTTAGCAAGCCTCTCTGTCTTAGCAACARTGTTTTAAGTTGTTGTAAGACCAATTCATGAATCTCTAAGACTTCTTATTTTTTATTTTCTTACAGTATAGATAGTCTTCAAAACTGTATTAAGGCAAAAGCATAATATTTCTTTTACAGATATCGTGCTGATATCTTTGACCTGCACAGTTTTACTCCATGTCTTTTCAGCATTATCTTTTTCAGCAGAATTCTTCCTGCTCCTTAAGGTATTCTTTCCAGAGCACTGGATACAATTGTTAAATTAATTAATTAAAAGTGAAAGAGTTACATTCACACATTTTACTGTCAGCTTCAGAAAAAATGCAAAACTCAAAGAGCTAACTGTTCTGGCATTACACTTGTTCTGTGTGTTACACAAACATTACACTTGTTACTAATGGAAGACAAAATAAGGAAGAAGAATTTGATTGTTTCACAATATGGAATAGCTCTCAGGAAACTGTACAGAAGAGGAAAGGAGATAGAATTGCACAAAACTTGAATAACATCTTTAAAACCTGCATTTTTTTCCAAATTAAAAAAAAAAAAAAAGAAAAAAAGGTGAATAGGTGTAAAATATTGAACAGCTCCAGAAAAAAAAATATATGTATAGCTTTGACATTTTATTCTCAATCTCTAGATGTATGAATAATTGTTTTCAAAATTAGGAACTAGATGAAGAGATTCTGCTAAATACTCAGTTTCTAAACTTTCCAATGAACAGCAATGCAGTCTTTTACCTAGTTTTCTAATCTTGTTCAATTTTAGACTATTCATATATTTTAATTTTTTTAGATTGTCATGTTTCTGTTCAAAATTATATTTTGTAAAAAACAAGATTCAAGTACTAATAACATTTGCTACAAATTGCTAAGTAATGGCAGTGTAAAAATCCATTATAAATAGACCACAATATTGTTAGATTCAGATATTTGTGATTAGAAGGGTATTGGAAAGCCAATTAACATTGCTTTACAGAAAAACAGGTTTTTATCCCAACTGGTCTGAGATCTTTTAACATAATTACATTCCACTGCAGAGTGGCCCAGCTGCAAGATGTGGAAAGACTCCATCTGAAGCTATTTCACAGCATATGTTTGTTGCCAAGTCCAATTTAAGATTTGAGGATTAAAGGAAACTGAAGAAAAGGAAACTTGCAAAGTTCTGCAGACTACAATTAGTTTAGTTCCTGTTTCTCCTTCNCAGAAATTAGGCAGTTTGAGAGAGAAATAATCATCTTTTCTAGTTTATTAATTTATTAATTCTTCACAGTAAACTAAGATGAATAAAACAAGATTGTTGCATGTGATGCTTCTGAGCATCAAGTAATATAGCTAAAATGCAAAAATATTCAATAAAGATATTAAACATTATCTTTATTTTATGTTCTGTGATGAGACATAAGCATATGAAGCAAAATTATATATAGGAATTCTTTTATAATGGAAAGACCAACATATGCTAATTTTAGAACATATTGCATTTTAATTTCTGAAGCAAACAAATAAATGAACTGGATATCCTCTTTAAATTCAGGTGAGGTGTTAAGTAGCAGTTAGATTAAATTAGATTTATAGGGTCATTAAAAGATACTTATCAATTTGCTACCAGAAGCACTCAGTTTAATTACACAATTAAGTTTAAATTGTTTTAATTATGTACAGGAAGCTTATTAGAATTCCTATTTATCTGGTCATCTTTAGAAATGACATTAAATTTTAATTAATTTTTCTGTGAATGCAAAAAAAATGTTSTCCCCAAAGTCAGGTCTTTAAAACTATACAGATTAATTGTATGTGTTTAAATTTTGTAATAACAATTAATTCAGCAAATGGGMTATGAGGAAGAATCAAGTGGTGTATTAATGCTGTAAAACAAGAGAAATCCTGTGCATTCGCAAGAGTATAAAATAAAATTCTCAGAATATATATTCTGTTGCTTAACTACTCATAACATAATATTAAATGTAAATTTTTAGGGATGTACTTCTATATTCCTAAAAATCTTAGTATAGTCTTAAAATTATGAAGATGTAAATCAAAAGGCTAAATCTGTATTGTTATATATATTATGAATATATTTATTTTTATTTAAATACAAACTTTAGATAAGAACTATTTGATTTTACTGTTCATTTGTTATTTTCCAGATAATGCTATATTCTTGTATAAGTATAAAGCTATTGAAGCTGTAAGGAAGTTACCCAAATGRCATGGCACGTTTACAGAGAAATTTGATTATAGAATTTTGCCATCTGTCCATTTTTAAAAGTTTATGAGTCTGTATTATTCTTTCTCTGTGATTATTTATGTAAGAATCAGTTGCAAAAGAAAACCTCAGTCCAGAGTACTTTTATCCAGAACTGAATATTGTACTTGGGAATATCTCTTTCTTTAAAAATTACTGGTAAAGAAAAATCCTTTCTTGTATAATAAAGATTTTTTTTCAAAAACACGTTAGTGCCTCTGCTGAAGTATCTCAGTAGGATTCTACTGACATGAATGGTGCCAGCCTGATTATTCTGTGAATGCACTTCAGATATGTGAAAATACACTCTAGAGATAGGAAAATATTAAACAGTACACTGCTGTAGTTTGGGTTTCTTTTGGGGGAAAAAATATATGATTGCTACAAATCCGTAAAACTGTTGTTAGGCACAACTAGTTTAAACTTTAGAATACCATTTAATTTACCCATGTGACTTTTTGTCTTACTTCCATTGTTCTCATTGACTTCTACTATTTATTCCATAGCAAATCATTTTTCTTCTGTTGGTTTACATTACCCTTATGTTCTTTATRCACAAATAATGCAATAGCCAGTCTGCATAACCATATCTGCATTGCTGACTAGTCTTGTCAAGCAGTTCTAGTTGAGTCAGTGTCCCATTTTTTTCTATAGATACAGAATTCCCTGTAGAGAAACATTTAATTCCAGGTTTCAAATCCATGCCATCCTAGTCTCTCTGTCACAGTGGTTTAATACTGTGACGAGAGTTAACACTGTGATCACATAATGTTCACAGTTCTGTAAATTTTTAATTGTGGCATGATGAATTTCCAAAAGGTATGACCACTTGAGTGGATATGCCACATTTTCTAAGTGAGATATCGTACATTCATGTACAGTCACACAAATTATTTCATTGATACCTTTGCAAAATTATGGAACAGACATGAACCTGGTATCTAAAAATATCATCAGATTTTTCACGTAGCAGAAAACCAAAATATATGCATTTATAATTCAAATGTATTGGGTAATTAAGAAAGTTTAAAAGCACTTCCGTTCAGCAGTAGAAATTCTACATAAAAATAATATTGAAGAAAATGTTGTAGGCTGTCTTCAGAATTAAGAGTTTTAATTTTGTATGCCTTTTTGTACACTCTCTAGGGTGTGCTAGATGTGGACTGAGATACATTTCCCTGTATAATCATAACAACAGTATGTTCTTATCATCATTTTCATTTATTTCTCAGAATTTTTGTATACAGAAAGTAAGAGTTTCAGAAAGGTTTATTCTTGGCCTAGCCTGTCTCATACTAAGGCTTTTAGCATACTCTATGTGTTGATAAATACTTAGCAATTTATTCTGGAACCTCACTCCTGTATGGTGTATTGGTGCTGCTAAAAAAAAAATGGAAAAAAAGACAGAGGAATTAACATGTGATATTTTATGTTGTTTTACTTGTGGTTCTATAAAGTCTATCTCCTTAATGTAAAAATATAGTTCAAGAGGGCTTTGCCATTAATAGTTTTAATGGGTTGTGGTCATCATTTAAGATTTGCATAAAGCACATTAAAGCTACAGCTGTTCCTGTAGCAACTTTTGTTATTGATGTCTATATATTTCTATTGGTAGTCAACTATAAACAAGGATAAACATCATAACAAGTGATAATGGCTGTTTAATAATACATGAGGTACCTACTGTTTTTACTAAGCAAATAAAACTTTGTTCTTAGTAATTCTATTTATTTTGCGTTTAGTTGGGATGACTTGTCCCTGTAAAAAAAAAAAATGCTGAAAATTTATTAATAACTTTAAAAAATTCTTATTAGATTTAAATGCAAACACTCCTTTGTTATAAGCAAAGTAGAAATTGGGTTAAGATCTTAGCAGTTAGTATGTCAGTAATGGACTAACTTTCCCACATAATATACTTTAACTTCAAACGACAAGCAGGAAATGTATACAATATGTATATTATAAGTATTATAGTTCTTGACAAAAATCTTTGTTTTATGGTTATTCTTTATTATTTATTTGTTTACCTATTTGCGGAAAAGTATAACATGAATATATTGGAAAACATTATCTGTTTTCTCACATAAATATAACAAATAAGTACAATACATCTTAGTACAAATATGCTATATACATATATAAATTATTTGACAGAGTAACTAAAGGACTATGTAGTTTAAGCAGTAAGGTACATGAATATTAAAATATCTTAAAAATAAACAGAGATTCAACCTTTCACCCATATGACTGGAATAAGACTAGTTTATGCACCCCAGCCAAAGCATTTCAATGACTATACATTCCAGTAGCCATCAAATCTACTGTGTGTCTAGATTTATGCAGATCTCACAGTCCCTATAGCTTCCAAACGTGTGTCTTCAGCTTATGCAGGACAGCTGCATGTCTCTGTTGAAATCAGAAGTCCTCTGATCAGAAGTCTGCTGTACGTAGAAGACCACTCAAAAGGAGGAGAGGACCTCTTATTCCTTGGCTCTTACTCCTTCCTAAACAGACTACATTTATCCATGACTGAACTGCAGCTGTACATAGTACCCACTATGTCTCTGTAATTTCAGTCATGTCAGACTCTGTTGACAGCAAGTGAATGAGTAATTCTTTTATTCCCAAGCTTCATTACCAGCTGCACAGGCTCTTTAGGTATACTGATGAATGCCGTGCTTTTTAAATGGATGTGAAAGTTCCTCTGGTAGCCTTTTCTCACACATTCCTGCTCAGTTTCAGCGTTTCCTTACTGATGGACCCATAAAGCAAGTTTAAAGCCCTCCTCATTACTTGAGCAAATCTGTTAAAAATACATTCACTCCTTCTGAAAGAAAGTTGATCATAGTGATAGTCATAAAATATAGTTTTGAAATTATCTGCTCTCAAGCATTTTTGAAAAAGCTCTTCTAATTGGTATCTAGAAACCTGCATCAGTCTTTGTTTAAGAGAACTGAAGCAACCTGTCCCTTGTCATCTCACTGATGTAAAAAATCATGGAAAAAAAAATCAAAAAAAAAGGACTTTTTTAACACTAGGAGATATTTGACTCACATTTCCCTGCTAATTACCATGTGCAGGTACCAGGAAAACACAAGGGAAAAAATAATGTCCCCCAAGTATCAAAACATTAGTGAACTGAAGTATAATGATTTGATTGATATGCAGAKTTTCACAGATGGGGCTGAAGACCTGCTATCTAGCTGATTTTTGTTATAGGGCTGAAATCTCATGTTCATCTCCTGCCTGTAGATAAAGGACCTGCTTTTCCATCATGTAGCTGCCAGTATGCATTCTTCATCTTAGCTCATCCTGCAGCACAAAAGTCTGTGCTCTACCCAGCCTTCTTCTCAGTCTCCCCCAGGGATCAAAGATCTCAGCTTCTCTTGTACAGATAATGTTCTTGCTTCGTTTTAGTGATTTGCCCAAGTGAGGCAGGAATTTCTTTGCATAGGAGGTCTTCCATGCATGACTCAGAAACATAGATTTCTCTCTGCTTAGTCAGTGGTATTATCATCTTAATGATATGTTCAGGAAGGTATATGTATTGAGACTGTGGTGCCTGAATACAGAGGTACAGTACAGGGGTAACACTTTTGTAATTGACTTTCATTACAAATAATAATTCTAGAGATCGTTTCACTAGCAATGGACTTTTTGAAAACATTAAATAATTGGTCAGGGAAATATATGCTAGTTTTCTGATCTGGTACAGAATAAATATAACCCCTTTCTCTTAAATTCTTAACACTTCAGGGAAAGAATTGCTTCAGGAATGCACTGAGTCTGCATCTGTACTACCTTTCATAACCACTAAGATTAAAGCCAGAACAATATTTGTTTTAATGTGCAGCAGTGCCATTCAAACATGGTCAACATGCCACACTTGCAATTATTTTGAATGTTCATTTTTGTATGACTGTAAATGCCTTCATGTAAATAATGTGGAGGATAAATTATTGCTGTATGTCAGCAAAATATTTTAATGCATATCTAAAGGCTGATGATATCTAAATGTTTGCACATTTTCATCTTGTATTTACCAAGGTTTTTGGTTACATTTGATTACATTTATTTGCAATTTATTATGCTGAATATGCAATATGTTCTGTTTGTCTTTAGTATTTGTTTGCAAATAATTTCCAAACCATTTACATTATTTTCAAATATTGAATATTCATAAAAATAATCTAGGCTTAATTATTTGTGAATAATTCATTTTAGTATTCACTATGTGTAGCTGTGTAATTAGATGCTTACTCATTGGGGAATCTAATTTAATATGTTTTTTTTTAATTGCTTTGCTGAGTCAGAACTCAGTTAGTATAACCTGTTTAATTGGAAAATAATGGAGAATAAGTTATTACTGGGGCTTAATGCCACATTTTAATTACTGTATAAAATGTGAGGATATTTAAATAATGCTGTAATTGAGTATCAATCACTGAAATATTAYAAAATGACAAAAATACAATCTTCGAACACCAGTGAGTAAAATAATTTATTCAAAAATAATTTATACCTCTGTTACTGTTCCACTACAGCAGATTATATTAGTAGCCTGTGAATAAGTGAATTTCATTCCAAGTCCTTTTAAAAATCTATATAAAATGTTGTATGTAAAGCTTAGAAGCTTTTATGGTGATTTAACTCTAAATTTTTGTTTGAGTAGTGCAAATCTTCAGAGACTCTAACTTTTTATATCATACTAAAAATAGCTTAAAAGTAATTAAGTGGAAAGCTTTCAATAACATCAGCAAGCTTATTAATGCTTTCAATCTCCTCTTGGTCATTCTTTTATTAAAGCTGTTCTTAGGCTTTAAAGAGACTACCCTGGTACAAAATCTCTAATTAACAAGTTCCAAGTGTAAGAGGACATTATGAAGCTCTATTGGAAAAAAAAAAAACTCAAAAAAAAAACTCACAAAAAAAAACCCACCCAAAACTCAAAGCTTTCATAAAACTTGCAGGTATATTAAGCATTTTAAAAATGGCTGTGAACTTTGGTGAGGAAACGCTGCCAGCAGGATCTAATCTCTACTCATGTCAAGGTCAGTGGTATTTTCGCCATTGACTTAAGTGTCATCAAGCCATAATGATACTACTGGAAACTGAAATTTTCTACTTTCAGAATGCAATATACATTCAAGTTAGCTAGTCTTCAAAAAAAAAAATTTTACTTTTGTCTAAGAAGTTTTTTCTGAATTTTTTATGGAACTCTAAAAAAGATAATTTAAAAATATAAAAAGAGATCAAATAATTTGTATGTATATAGTCGCATATAGCAAGTAGAAGTACTGCTTAATTAGTGCTAGTTATAATAATAATTATTAAATTGTTATATTAGCTGGCATTAATCAATCAGTAGTACAATTGTATGTCAACCGAGTTTATGCATGAAAATGCTACAAAAAGACTATATTTAAATTTTAAATTACCAGGAAGGGTGAAATAATAATTACTCCATAGTTGAATTGTAATCACCAGATGTTTAGACAATGTTTCCTGCACATTTGTTGGAACTGATATGGTAATCCATTAGTAAGTGAGGTTTAAGCAGTTTTCCAAAAGCTTTGAAATGGGCAGATTTGGCATTGCTAGTTCTGTGTTACATTTCATGATGAGTGCTTTGCGAAAATATGTTACTTGTTTTGAGAAATGGGACTCCTCATATAAAAAATTCATCCAGCAAATCTCTAGCTAATAGATCTGATACCACATTACATTTAAAATGTAAAAATTGAATCAATATCACTGTTGCCACCTAAACATTCTCGCATGCCCAAAAAAGTATATGTTATTGTTGTGATGAAGGAAACCATGACTGTTCTTTCAAAATTCTTTTTTTTTTTTTTTTTTCCAGTCTAAAACATACGTATGCAGCTGGCAAGGGGATACCCTGTGCTTTACAATTGACTTTGCTCTTGGATTTACATGTTTTGATAGTAAAACAAAGGTAAGAAGAAAAGGAGCAGAAGAGATATCTCTACTTGACTGATAATTCAAGGAATAATGAAAAYGTTTTTTTGTTTCATGTGTAGGTCTTATTTCTTCCATTAAAATACTGCAATTTTTTATTTATGTGGCACCACTGAAATGCAGTCAGTTGGGAATAGAAAGAGATAATCTGTTTGTACTGTAGCACATGGAGACTTTGGAGGTGGATGGAAAACAGCTCATTTCCTTCTCGTGTAATAACAAGAATGAAAGTTTTTATTTAGCACAGAATTTGATTTCTTATGAGCTGAACTACTTCAGGATTTTATAAAGATTACTTATCATGAAAAAATTAAAATGTCATCTGATTCAGTTTGTTTTGAAGCCAAAGATGTAAGATAAGATTACTTTTTCTTTCATCATAAGGAAGTTAGGATAAGTCTATGCTAAACAGAGTCATGGCATGGATTATGCTTCAGTCATAATCTATATGATTAAATTCTCATATCCTGCAGAACAGACTATCTGCATTTATAATAGTTTTTGGGAATGGTTCATGACATATACCAACTTCCAGAAAAGTAAATGAAATTTTAAGCTATTTAAATGAATTTCTAAATTAATTCAGAAGCTTAAATTTACATCTAATAAATACTTCAACATTAATACAGATGTACAGCAGGTCTGTCCCCCAAAATATTACCTTTTACTCAAAGATGAAAGCTTTCTTTTCTTTCAAATGTCTATAAAAGAAATCAAGTCATTCCATATAAAAAGAAATACACTGCATATTCAAATATTGTCAAAAATCTAGGGTTTTTTTTGTCATCCAAAATGCACATTTTTTGAAATCTTTGTGAAGAAAAGTTGGCCACTGGCCTTTGACAATTTGGACTTTACAGTGCATGTTCTATCCCATTAAGAAGGGTAAAAAAAAAAAAAAAGAAAGAAAGAAACATCTTTGCATACCTTTCTCTGCCTTAAACTGTACTCTCAAATTGTGCTTGACATATCACATTTTACTTTATATACCTAAAATTGCCTACATACAATTTAGGGTTTAAACTACAGAGAATGTTTCTTTTAAATGTGTAAACTGATTAGTTTTTAGGGTTATAAATTTGTTCGTTGACATTCACTTTCAAACAATCAGAAAATAAGCCAAAATGAATATCATTTTTCCTGCTGCATTAGATAGAATCAAAATTTTGCCCATCAGAAAATTAGGACTTTGGGTCAAAGTGCCCAATTTCAGTCTCAACAATCAGGAAGATTTAGATCAATCCTTCTTGCTTACTTAAAGGAAAAATGCAGAAAAGTTATATAGATTCAAATGTAAAATTTTTGAAGATCTGTATCTATTTATTGTACATTAGAGTGAGAGATGGAGGTGTCACAGGCATTCTCAACCCTCTGCGTGAGGCAGTAATGAGCAAGTTGCACAATTCATTCTTCCTACCTGTAATTGTCAGCTGGAGTTGAATATTCCAGGGTCATCACAGCTTGGACCCATGCATTTGGGGCCTATCTCAGAGCTATCTTTGTCACCTACAGTTGCTTTGTATGTGATCACAGAGGCTTTCTTGTACCTAGCTGGCTTAATTGGCTCACCTTCCCTATTCAGCTCCTCTAGCAGCTCACCTAAAATAAAGGGATCCCAAAGTGTGCATTCTTTCCTGCCTTCCAGAGCCATCTGCTTCCTCTGTTTTTCACACAGTGTCACCTGTGGGGAGAGATGATCACTCCAGCAATGCACATTATTGCTAAATTCTTCCTAGGTCTGTGTTTCCTCTCCATCCTTAGCAGTTACCCCTTATAGAACATTCATCTATTCAGTTTAGATCCAAACTCATTTAAGCTTTGAGTACCTTTCAGGTGGTCTAATTAGGCCCTCTGGACCCAGTTAAACTCTATTCATGATTGTAAAGTTTAAGCACCATCACAATGCCATAGCATAGTTGATTTTTTTCATCTTTTAAATTAGGAAATCTAAGAAGCCAACTGAGTTTGTGACTGCTGGGAACCAGGAGATGGAATCAAGCTTTTTTTGCCTCCTGTAAGACTTTATATTTTTTTAATAGGGCATTACAAAGTATTAGTAGAGTTGTAAAAAAAGTAACAAAATAATTCAAATTCATGAGGTCTTCCTCATGCTAAATTTATGTTATCCTGTTTATCAACTGATGTTTGTTCAAGTAGTGCAGAAACCACTACAAAGACAAAAATGTTGGCCAACAAGACAAATCCTGTAGGATCCCAACTTTTGTTACCTTTCTCATTTTACTCATCTCTCAGTCTGATATTCTTTTCTGTATTGCTGTAGCACTGGGAATGGTGGAACTTTAATCAAAATTAGTATATGTGATGTTAAGAGTGAATATTTCATCATCATAATCATCATCATCAAGGCATATAGTGTAAGAGCAATAATGCGAAGAAATAACTTCCCAAACTATTAATTTAAAGGAAGCAGGACACCTACTCTTTTCAAAGCTAACTGTGTTCTAAAATAGGAGTAAGCACATTCTTTCTCGACTTTAGCAACTATATGTAGCAAATGTCTAATTTGCAGAGAGAAAATATCCCAGAATATTAACCTTATTAGATAGTAGAAATAGTCTGCACTAATTTAGAGAGGACTAGTATTTCTTTTTTGCAGTAATTGCATGTGACTCACAGAGCAGCTGTTCTACCCCAGACAAATTCACAGGGAGAATGTCTGTTACTTATAAGTGTAGGTATAGTGCTGGCCTACATACGAATATTTTTCAGTGAGACAGTGAGAAATGGAAAACATATCAAAAAAAGCCTGCCTGTTTTATGTCTGCTTTTGAAAGAGCTTTCAAAGCATTTAAATCATGTTTCCTCACCAGTATCTAGGGATTGATTCACATCTCAATATGTGCTTCGAATTCTCATTAATATTATGGGACATTAAGGAAACATCAGCAGGAACTCTGGATGCAAGTTGTTAATCTATCTTTTTAGACTTATTATGCCTTTAAAGGTGATGAATAGAAAAAAAGTAATTCAAGTTAATACAGAAAATGAAATTAGTTTCAAAAAGAATTTCCTAGTGTTTTTAAAAAAGCACCTTTGGAAATATTTAAAAATTTTGTTTTGATCTAGGATTTCCCTCATAGTAATAGTAAGGCCACATATGTAAACTGAAAGGAGGGAGAAGTTTGAAAATATCTTAAGAGTTTTTATATGTTTGCAAATAACTGTGTAACACAGAGCATATATTTTGTAGTTTGCAAGATAAAATATATACATAAACATAAAAATATTTCTATAGCATGTTTCAAACCACTTTACATCATGGAATTCAGCTTTGCAACATCTGTATGAGATAGTTACACATGCAATGCAAGTGATCCCACTTAAATATGAGATTAAGATATAGAACAGAATTGGGTTCATATTGAAACAAATACCATGGTATTTGGTATTATTTGAGATACACAAGTGAAACAGTTACATATCAGAAGACTTTTAGATAATTAGTGAATATGAATGCTGTATCTTTCACATATGATACAGAACTGTTAATCTCACTTGCTCTGCAAGCAGCCTGTAAATGCATTTCATTTACTGTCTTAAAGATTTTTCTTAATAGGTCAGTGTCTATCAGTTCTTGGTGAGAGTGTGTAAGAGAGTTCTTAATCAAATTTCTTTCTCCTTAGAATGTGCTGTGGAGGTTTAAATTTTCTCAGCTGAAAGGATCATCAGATGATGGGAAAACAAGAGTAAAGCTTCTCTTTCAGAATCTAGACACCAAACAAATTGAAACCAAGGTAGGCAGCATATTCTTTATGTTTGGTAACAAATGAAATGGAATTACTATCAAGACATCAAAATTTCCATTTCCTACTTCACACACATTGAACTGCAAATCATGAATTATCTTTTTTTTCTTCTGTTCTATATATTATATTTTTCTGTTCTATTCTGTTCTGTTCTATAGAAGCTTCACAACCAATAAAAGTGGTGTAGTGTCTATAGATTTGTTGTGCTATTTATGAAAATCATGCAATATATGGCATAGCATTTATTACCTTAAACAAAGGAAATAATAACTTTTGGCCAAAAGGCCAAGAATGTTCTGAAATCTGTTGTTCTACTGTGAGTTGAGAGTGCTTGGTGTTGTGCTAGACCTGGCATAAAACTCTGATGACATACAGGTACTACTGTTTATGTGAGGTATTTCTAGTTCCTGTTTTTTTCCCTTTTAGAAAGCATCAGAGAAAGGTGTGAAATTAAACTGTAAGTGTAGCTGTAACACCTGCATCTGGACTCAAATTCTGCCCTGTGATCCCCAGTTTTATGCTGTTGTATGTATCATCTAGAGGATGTGATAAAACTTACATAAATGAAATATCAAGCCTGAGATTAATAATAAACACAGAAGTTTGGAGTAAGATTCAAGAAAATAAGGGGAAAGGAAAGGAAAATGTGCAGTCACARAGTTTTGAAAGGAATGAGAAGAATGTGATGTGATGGAGAAAAGGAAGCTAAGTGAGATTCAACTGGGATCTAGTGGAACAAAAGTCAGTGAGAACAGGGAAGCAAAAAAAAAAAATTGAAAAGCTATGAATATTCCCAAATATTCTTTCCTGGRTTTTCATAGGTAATCATCTACCTATTGTAAGCTGATAATTTGCCCTAATGAGCATGAACAAAGGCAGAACAGATATTACCTGTCTTTTCTAATATTAAAAAAAAAAAAAAAATGACATTTTTGTAACATAGAGATACAGCAAATTCAATGTGTCTTCATTTGTATATCTATATTAGTCAACTATTAAAGAATGTATYGATTATGTGACTGCATTTTCCTTCAATTATGTATAAATATCATTGTAAAGTTTGCCTGAACTATTTTTTTCTGGAAGAAAATGACTTTTTTGTTGTTTTGTTTAAAAGGTTAGTGTTTTATGGTATCTCCTTGTAATAAAAGTTTTTAGTATTTCATCAGCAAACTTAACTCAAGTTATGATTTGGCTCTGCGGTAAAAAAATAATGTCTAGTATAAAATACAGACTACTATAATAACTCGACGATGGGAGCAGATCATTTCTAAGTCATCCTCACAGTACTCCCTGGAGAGAAAAAAAGAACTATCATCATGTTATACATGATCATTTGTTGCACAGGGTTCAAGTAACTTGTTCAAGGTCAGACAGGAAGATTGTATTAGTGTGAAAAATTGAACATGATTCCTCCAATCCATGTGCTGAATGGATATATAGCCCATATGTGATAATTGGCTACAGCCCCTTTTTATTGCTTTAGTACTGAATCATTCCTTTTACTTTTGAGATAGCAATCAGAATATTAAAAAAATATTTTTCATTCATTGTAATTATATTTTTATTTGTTTCTCCTTAAGTTTTAAATTATAGATTGAAAAATTGTAATTTTTTTTTTGAAAATTCAATTATTGCTATTTGTTGAATAATAAAATAAGCTCTAATAATTTTTTCAGCAGGTTTTATCCAGAGATGCTGATTTAACAAAACATTGAATAGCATTCTTTTGCATAGCTGTAATGAAAACACATAATTCTCAGAGTTGTTGTGAGTGTTTCTATAGTACTTTGAAATTATCAAGAGGAGGGTGTTACAGGGTTGTGAAATATGTGGATAAATACAGARTGATAACTATATATATACCAGATGTACATGTAATTGTAAATCACGATTGTAGATGGTATTATCCTTTAGACTTCAGAATTGGAATGGCCAAGAAATAAACAGTGATGCTRGTCATTGTCTTATGCGATATCTAGCACTGCTTATCATACAGAAGAAAAGATTTCATAGCGGCAGGTGGTGCTGTAGGCTGAAGTGCAACCAATAYTGAGAAACTGAAAATACCATCAAATATCAGAAGTTTGATTTCTCCCCCACTGCATATGAAATAAAGCTTGATACAGATGACTTAAGCCTGTTCACCTGGCAATAACAAGAGAGATAATCTGCAASAGATTTTACCTGATCAAGTCTAATTTTATATGCTTAAAAATTCTTGAGGGGAAAAATCACRTTTGGGAATTCCATTTCTGTGTCTTAGTGACTAGCTGGAGATACTTTTCTCCTATAAATTCTAAGCAAAGAGCAAAGTGATTCTTACTGTGCATTTCTATTTTAGATGAAAAAAAAGCTTTTTTTTTTTTTTTTTTCTCTTAAAATACGTGTTTTTCTGCTGGAAGGAATTGAAAAGGCCTAGATTCTGAACATTAATTTCTCCTTCAGGCCCCTCATATTCCCTAGAGCTTCCCCTCATAGTTTCCTACTGCAGTACTTCCCCAAACTTACTGTACCTTTAATAATTCCGGTAATATTTCCACCCAAATCCATTTTTTAAATCCCTCRAAAGTTAGTATAATGCATGGATGCTACTCTTAAGTTATGGCAAATGTTTGGCCAGGCTGAYAGTGGGGAAATATGAAACAATTTTTTTAGTTGCTTTGGAGATATGTGTATTAACTGGTTAGATAACCCATTTGATAGATGGCCAGGGGACAGCTGCCCTCAGCTGCARGTCAGGACAGGAGGGGATGAAACCTGAGGATAATAGGGCTTTCTCAAAGTCATGAGAGCTTTTTAGTGAGAGCAAAATAATAGATTTTTCTCACTCATCATCTCAGGAATGATTAAAATGTTTAAATTTTATTTGCAAAAGTAATCTTTTGAAGAAAAATTGATACGGTAGATATATATCRTAGAATCATAGAATCATAGAATGCTTAAGGTTGGAAGGGACCTCAGAGGTCATCTAGTCCAACCTCCCTGCACACACAGGGTCACCTAGGGCACGTGGCATAGGGCTGCATCCAAGCGGGTTTTAAAGATCTCCAAAGAAGGAGACTCCACAACCTCTCTGGGCAGCCTGTTCCAGGGCTCTGGCACCCTCACTGTCAAGAAATGTTTCCTTAAGWTCCTGTGGAACTTTTGGTGCCTCAGTTTGTGGCCGTTTCCTCTAGTCTTATCGCTGGCCACCACTGAAAAGAGGCCGCCSCCTCCTCCTCACTGCCTCCCTTGAGGTATTTACAGACACTGATCAGGTCCCCCCTCAGCCTTCCCTTCTCCAGGCTGAACAGGCCCAGCTCCCTCAGCCTTTGCTCATAGGGCAGATGTTCCAGGCAGAACATCCTGGTAGCCCTGCGCTGGACTCTCTCCAGCAGCTCCACATCCCTCTTGTACTGGGGAACCCAGAACTGGACACAGTACTCCAGATGTGGCCTCACCAGGGCTGTGTATAGGGGGATGATCACCTCTCTTGGCCTGCTGGAGATGCTCTTCTTAATGCACCCATGGATCCCATTGGCCTTCTTGGCCACCAGGGCACACTGCTGTCTCATATATAAATATAAGTGAAAACATTCAAATTTTGGCAAACCTTGTGTAYTGAATTCAGGATACCAACTGAAAATGACAAGTAATAGGAGGTATAGGTTAGGTTAGGCTTTTTGACATTTTTTTTTTTCGATCTTTTTAATCAAGATAATACTGATAGGATTGATAATTTATCTGCCCCATTAAGGAGTAATAACCCGCGACATAAGATTCTTTTTAATTGAGCCCTATGAGCATTTTCCTTTTCTTCTCAGTATTTAATCCTTTTCTTTTTCACTCTGAGGAAAAGATGGTGTTACATTTTTTGCAATTCATTCACACCAAATAGGTAAATAGAGCTTTTTTTTTTTTACACCAGATTTCCTCTTTTACAAACTTGGTCTCACTGGTCTCAAATATTTTATTAAGAAAAGAAAGAAGAAAAGAGACTCAGATTGTTTTATTCTTCTGAATATCTTCCTAATATTTTGAAGTCTGGATGATCTTAAAAAGCAAATTTTCAGCATTAGTTATTTGATATTTTTGCAAATGTTGTACTTTTTAGATATGAAAAATATTATTGTCAGTAGCAATTAAAAATAAGGCAATGTTACTTTCAACACAAGACCAGCTTATTTTGTGCTGAGAAAGAGGGACAGTAGCAAGACCCAAGACAGCTCTTTGTGTTCTGCTCATACTGCTACAGCATAACGTTCTGTAGAATGATCCAGTCAGAGAAATCATGGTGTAACTTAATTATTATGAGTTATAGCAAAGCTTCAGCTAAATTTTGTCCCAGGTACYTTCTGTCTGTTAAACATATAACTTGAGAACTTTACATATCTATCTTAGTACATACAGTTTTTCTTTGCTCGCTTCACTTCAGGCCTCAACACTGGTATTTTCACAGGAGTACAGTTGTGGTATGCCATRTATTTTTTCAATTATTCCCTGTAATTTTGCAACAGATTCTATTCTTTTTAAAACTTCAGGCATGTGGTCAAGGTCATGTCAGCAATTAGGGTGGTTTTGTTGGATCTCACTATATTCATCTGACATAGAGTATATTCTACATTTGTACTGTTGAGATACACGGTWAATTGAAGAGAGTACCAGTAAATCTGTCTCTAGGGCAACATTTTACTATAATTTAGCACTCAAACCCTTATGCATTTCTATTAACGTGAGTCTTCTGTTGTTGACATCTGCAAGTTTACTGCTGAGCATCTTGAGAGCTTCATAATGATTCACAAAATGATGGTGGATAGGAGTAAAGACTTTGCATATGTGGCAGGGCTCTACAGTCTGATTGCTGTTTGAAATTTATGTTAATATTTGCTGGAAGAAATTAATTTAGTTGTCTGCTCCTGAACAAGCTTCTCTGGAACAACTTTTCAGATGAATTTCTTGTGCATTAGCAAAGTTTTCATCTGCCAATGCAACATTTAAAAGCATTC